ACTCAGACCGCCCGGTAAATCCAGTGTGTGTTTAGTTGAGTGGAGTGGCTAACTGGCAGAATGGCTGCAATGGCTCCTTCTTAATGTGGCCTTTATGGCACTCCCACTTGGCTGGAATGCTAACTAGGTGTGGTTGCATGCAATAGGAGTGGGAGTGGGGGTGGCGGCCTCTCGCCCGATCCCGCTTCCGGTCTTCTTGTCAACGTCTTGACACCGGGCTCAAGCGAGTGAAGGGATGAGAGAGTGTGGTAGATGCAACACAAGTCCAGTTCCAGTTAAAACTAATCCACGCGTAAGTCATCGCGTTTTCCATCAGCTTGTTGAAGTATGCGGTGGACCACGTAGGGGCTGACGAGTAACCTGTCGTGAATATGGACAAAACCCACTTTCTTATTATTCTTTCCTCCCCTCCCCCCCCTATTAATATTCTAAACAAACGAAAAAATATTGCTTATGACACCCTCCAAACGCATGGTTGGTACAGCAGTTGAGGCACTGAAACTGTTTTCATATTGCACCGCAATCTTTCTTTAACTGTCAAGGTTGCTTTACTCCCTATTAATGGCCCTCCTCCCTCTCGTCCTCCATATCCCTCCTACCTTTCTATTTTTCCATTTTTGTAAATTTTGTTTGCGTTTTTCCCTCCGCCTCTTCCTTCTTCTCTTCCTCCTCCTCTTTCGTATCACTACTGGTATTGCTGATACAAGCGAAAATGCGAGTCCCAGGAAGTAATTGAGAAGTATAAGACGACTCGATCGCCGGGACAATATGTTTATTCGCCTGCCGAACACGCGGCAGCAATGTCGGAGAAACTGGCAGACTTCTCAGGACACGAAGTGCCGAACACGCGGTAGCAGTGCGGGCGAAATGATGCCGATTGTCAAAATGCGGCCCCGAACAAGTGGCAGCAGTGCGGCGAAATGATGCCAATTCTCAAGTTGCGGCTTATTTGACGGAATCCATCCGTCAAAGCAAATTGCCACTTGTCAAGTTGCGGCTCATTCGACGAGACCCGGTCATACGTTCATATTTGATGAGGCCGAGATTCTCGCAAGAGGTGACAATCGAGTGAGCCGAGAATTACTTGAGTCATGGTTCATGGGCCCCCAATCCATCAACAAGTGCAGCGGTTTGCCCAATCCATATCCGGTGCTGAGACTTAATTTGGCCAAAGCAAATCACCATTCGGAGAACAGACGGGCCACTACATCATCTTATGCCAACACCGCAGGGCCAGCTGGTCATGGCTGACACAACGAATCAGAACACACTCAGAGCATTTATCGATTTTTTCTGTACGTTTAAATTTTACGGCGGAACCCTGTGCACACACAAACTGTTTCTGCTACTGTTCTGTGAGTATGTCTCTGAAGATGAATCCGCAACGGATTTCGAAACGTCAGGCGAATAAACATGTTGTCCCAGCGATCGAGTCGTCTCCTGCTTCTCAACTACTGGTATTACTGTTGCCGCTACTACTACTACTGCTTCTAATACTATTAGTACTTCTCCCGAAACCACTACCTTTCCTACTAGTTCTGTTATTGTTACGCGATTGCTACTACAACTACAACCACTGCTTATATTTTTATTACCACTGCTATTACTTTTGATAAAATGGCTGCGGCTATTAAGGTGCCTGTAAAAACTAAGCAAAGAAATGCTTAGTGAGATCATATTTTTCGCATTTGCGATCAGAGTGTTATTGCGCGGACTGCGCCATCATCCTGGTAGTCTTGCGAAGATAGTACTCTTCCGCACCGATGTGTGCAGGGTTTGCAGCAGTGACCTGAGCAAATTTTTGTTATAACTCTTCGCCCTCCGGACAGATTACTGGAAATATTGAAGTCAGACTGCCCCCTGCAATGCTAAGCTACACTCGTCCCAGGCTCCTGCCCTACGATGAAACCTCGATAACGGAACTGCCGGAGGAGCCACCGGCCTTCATTTCAGTCTATCTGGCCCTCCAGCCCGCTGTTAAACCTTTCCAGGCTCTTTCTGACCAGGTAATTCAATTCGTTTTGTCATCACTACTGAAACTGTTTTCAGTAGGCGTGCTTATGAGCACAAAAAGAGATTGGCCATAGGGTCCGAGACGGACCGATAGCGTACTTTCTTCATCCATATGTCGAGTTTATAGCGTTTTTGCCCAGCAAATGCTCATCGAACCGCTATCGAATTTTCGGGGTTCACGGAAAACGGCGATAGGGACACATTTACATTTAAGTGATTGCTCACAAATGTAGAATTTCTACTATCTGATAATCAAACCCCTTAAGATAGGCTATCGCTTCGAAGCATTTACCGAAGTAGTGAACTCTTTGACAACATTGTTTCTTATGCAGATGGTTAATATTTGTGGACACCTTGCCGCCGTAAACAATTAACGCCCACAAAAAACATTTTGCAACAAATATGCCTTGGAACCGAGAAGGACGCTTTTGAAGTTGTATGCTAAAATTAAGCCATGGTACACGCCTACTAAACACTATGTTAGTAGCACTTATTATACAGAATATGTTATCCCCTGTATTTTCAGGTTTTCTCCATGGAATCGGCAGAACTGGTGGCGAGGGTCAAGTCGTGGGAGCGAGAGGTGGCAAAGCAGAATAAAGAAGGCCGCTTCGACTTCGAGGCCCTTGTGATGGACTCCAGTTGCAGGAGCGTCCTCGCCTGCCGTTTTCTTGTGCCTCAGAACCCGCCACCTGACTTTCTGCCCTCCAGCTATACGGCCGTTCAAGTAGAGGAAGTCAAGGTATATGGGCCATATGCATGTACCCTTTGTCACGCACGTTTAAACTAACTTTTGAGTGCATATTCCACTAAGTACTTTGTAGAAGGTTGCAAGTTCACGTAGATGCTCACGACCGGACCCAGCTACTGGATTCCCGGTGCATACACAGGTGGCACATAGTGGAATGGCCTTCAGCGAAGGCTGGCTGTGAAGCAAATAAACAATCGCCGCCCGGCAACGACAGAGCTGTTTGATCGCATATGATCAGATGGAAGCTTTTTCGAAAACCGACATCCTGCGATTAGGCTGCCAGATAAGTAATCTGACAATTTTAGTTGTGTGATTTGTTCGAATCTAAAATGCTTTTTCGCAGTTCAATTGACATTTTATGAGATGGGGAACTCTACTGTATCGTTTCATTGATCTCATCAAGACGGATACCTACTTCTTAACCGTAACATTAACAATAATTCACAAAGGCAGATAGCATTGTCGGCGAGGACAAGGGAGACTGGAATGGCCATTTCTGACTTATTAGTCACCGTCAGCCAGTCATAGCCAGGCCCAAGTGGTGTCCCGCCAGAGCCTCGAGATCGCAACTTTTTTTATCAGAGTCGAACACCCTAACCATTAAGCTACGAGCTCGTTGCCTCGCGGGATTAGGTTAGCGGTTATTGGCAGTCGTTGATGAACGAGTATGGTATGACTGGCTGCTGACGGCTAATAAGCCAGAAATGACCATTCCAGTCTCCCTTGCCTTTGCTGGCAATACTATTTGCCTATACTACCAGCTGTTACGGCTGTCAGGGCCTCTGGTGAGATCCAAGGCGAAACGAGACGCGTGAGTTCCGTTTGGGGTCGGGTGAACATTCATCGACGAATCACAAGGTCAAGTGTATAACGAAGAATGGACCTTGCTCCAGTGTCTTTTCAAGAAAATTTGTTAAAGCAGACATTGTGATACAGCTTTTAGCCACCAGCCGAAAATCTTCCATGTCCGACTTTCGCTGCGTCCTTGCCGCCGGCCTAGTTCTCCAAAAAGGTAAACGAAATAAAAATCGCTGCGGTTTTCTTAGATTCCCATCCCGGAACTCGCACTTTTGCAAACTTGAGTATCCCACCATTCAAGTAGAGAAAGTCAAGGCACATGGGCCATAAGCATGTGCCGTTTTGCCACGCATGTTTAAACTAACTTCTGATTACATCTTCCACTAAGTACTTTGTGGTAGATTTGAAGTTCACGTCGATGCTTCACGACCGGACCCAGCTGCTGACTTCCCGGTGCATACACAGGTGACGCATAGTGGAATGTTACTCGCGCTTGCACTTTTGCAAACTTAAGAATTCCGTCTGTTATTTTCGGAGATGAGATGCACTGAGAATCGGTCATCTTTAACCTTCGTTGTTTAACGTTCACCGATCGCTAATGGAACTCACTCGTCCCGCTCTGCCTTGGGACTCATCATCCAGCCCCGCCAGCAGGCAGATAGCGTTGCCGGCGATAACAAGGGAGACTGGAATGGCCATTTCTGACTTAGTAACTGTCATTAGCCAGTGCACCAAACGGAGCTAGAACTCGAGACCTTTTTGATCCGAAGTCTAACGTTCCAGCCTTAACGAACCAGGGGCTC